CCCCCCCCCCCCTCTCGCGTATCTGCTCGCCTCTCTTCTTTTTCACACTAATTTTTTTCCTGGCAGCTTGATGCGTCGCGTTCTGACACTGAACAAGATTAATGACAGGTCACGCGCCCGCCCCGCCCCGCCCCGCTTCCCGCTCGAAATAAGGGCGGCGTGTTGGTGGACGCTGTTTGTTGTGGAGGGTGTAGTTCGTTGCTCTCGATTCCGTCCCATCATCGTGTGTTTGTAATACTGCCACACATTTTGCGTGTGTTTTTGAAGTTCCTTTTTGCTTCCTACTTCCGCACTCTCCACCACTAACCCCAATGGTTTTTTGTTTCTGCCCCTTTTGCAGTGAGCACGCCGGCTATCGTGGGCATCTGCCTGGGCGCGTCGCTGTTCCTGGTGCTGACGGCGGCCGTGACATGCGTGTGCTACCGGCGCCGCTCCCACTGGTCGCAGGGCCACGAGAAGCTGGGCGGGCTGGGCAAGCCGCGGGGCTCGGGCGACAAGCCGCTGGCCATGCAGCAGCACCCGCGGCCCTGCCCGCGCCGCCCCACCGCCGTCAAGAGCCCCGCCGGCGGGCCGCCGCAGTACCTCAAGAAGAGCCCCAGCCCCACCGGGCCCGGCAAGTCACCACCGGGGGTGAGTAGAGCAGCTGGCGAGGGAAAACTCGCACACCCCGCTACAAGACATTAAAGCGTCAAATGGAATCAACTTTTGTACAATCTATGGGATAATTTAAGTAACATATTGCTGGAGGTTATTATCGTGTGCTCCGAAAGGTGGTTGGTTTTATGAATAGTGTATGTTGAGAGTTTTTTTCCCTTTCTTTTTGAAGGAATATATCACTCGGTGGGTCACCTAAAGGCTGGGATAGGCCTCAGCCGTCCCCTGTCGGGATAAACTTATTGATGAACTGTAGCGCGCCGAGTCGTTTCAACTTCTGGTTAGCTTTCAATGTCCTCGCAGCTCCCTCGCGCCCACTCACCGGGCCCCTCCCCCCCCAAACAAACCCAACTTGCCCGCGATGCAAGTTGAGAGTACGCCCCAATTTTCTTTTCGGTTCTAAAGCCCCGCCACCCCCCTTCTCTCCCTTCCGGCTGTGTCGTCCCTTCCTCCGCGTATCTTAGCCTGTGGAGAGAGAAACTTTCCTAATTTTACAAACGGCTGGAGGAAGGAATCTAAAGCAATATAAGACGCCGGTCGCCGTTAATTGCGCACGTGTTTGTATACATTATTTCAGAAAGAGTGAGGTGGTTTCAAAGGTCCCCTTTCTAGTCCCTCTCCCCCTTTTGGCTTCCCCACTCCCGCTGGTTGTCCAGAGGCACACGACGCGCATTTTAATTTGATACAAAGCTATAATTTTTCCTCTATTATCTGCTCTCTCCGTTTCTCCCCCCCCCCCTCTCCCTTGTCTTTTTCTGAGCTGCAGTGCCGCAGTGCTATACCGAAGAGCATTATTTCCCTATTTTATTTATTTAGAGTATGCGGGAGAGGGGCTAACGAGAAAGCGCAAACGTAACAATAATCTTTTCTAAGGTTGTGCGATCGTTGAATAAAGGGGATAAAAAAAAACACACAATCACATTTTTAAGCGCAGAATCCCGCACTGAGCAGCAGCACCAGTAGCGAAAGGATTTCTGCAACCTCAAGCAAGGCGGCCTCGCAAATCCCAAAACGCAGCGTGACAAGTCTCCGCGACCCGGAGATTGGATATAGGGCGCCGTGGATCACCTTTAATATTGCGATATTCTGGACCGATTGGCGATTTTGGAAAAGGGGAAGATGGGGAGGGCGGGGGTGGGGGTAAAGAGGGTAAAGTGAGAAGGGTGGACATAAATCACAACGGCAACGCGAGCCACCCTGCTTATTAAAATCGACCCTGTCGATATTATTCTCGCCGTCCTCGAATTGCAACCCTCGCGCCGCGCTGCTGTGGCTGCGGCTGTTTTTGGGTTTGGATTAACGTCAAGCTGCCGCGTTATTCCGGTCGCCATATCCGGCATATCCTGCGCGCGTGTTTCGCGCTGAGCTCAAACTGTTAGTTTGTGAAAAACGAAATGTTACCTAACGTAACCAGAAAATGGTATTATGAATATTGGCCGACATTGCCAAAAAAGCGAAACAATTAACACACTCTGGTATTCAAACAGAGTAACGTCACATTCAATATAATGTGAATTGTGTCAATTAGTGTAAAAAACAGTCATAAAATTAGTTTGCTGCCATTTTCTTTTACTACTAATTTGTATATTGAGCTTTGTGTCGTGTCCGCGGTGGTAAGGACAGATCTTGATGAATTATTTGTAGTAGGTGGGCCAATGAGGGAGAAAAGAGAGGAGATGTTGGTTTGAGTTTATTAGAGTAGTTTATTCAACAATAACATGAAACAGGTAAACACGGTATAGAAGCCATTCAAGGCGGTGGGGACAGGGTTGCCAACTACGCATTATGGAATGATGAATACATGACACTTTGGTTCAGTCGGCCGACCGTCCGGTATTGTGCGTAACACCATTGAAGACCCCCCTGCACCATGCGACATTTCCTCGTTCCATTCGGCTTTGGCATGGAAGTTCGCCACTTCTCCGCATAACTAAGGGGGGGGGGGGGATTTTCCACCTTTCCCGGCCGGGCCAGTCCGCGCCTGAAATGTGGTGTACTATTACGGAACCGGCGCGATACCGGACAGACACAGAGCTAAAAACAGACCCTTTTGCAGGATCGGGACAGTAGAGCTCCCGGATTTTTCGACTTACCGGTCCTGATTTCGGATACGGTCCTCAAAATGTTAATGTTTTCCACTAATATTTGTAGAATATGTTAGCTCCTGCACTTTATCGGAAAATAGTGCTTAAAACTCGGGGAAATGTGGGGAAAAGGTGTCTGGAAATCAGGAAAAATTCCGGGAAAAGGTATATGCAAAGTTTGTGGCAGCCATGCATGGCGTTGCTCCACCCTCACGGGCTAAATGTCAGAGGTTATACCAAAAGTGACATAGTTTTCCAACCATTGTGATACAAGTCACAGTCGTTTAAATATGACGTCACGGTGTTTGAATAACAAAACATTGTCTCTGTCACATTTCGTTGCGCGCATAGTTTTGTATGGGTTAATCTGACAGCTGAGGTTATCTTACTACGCTAGGAGGGGATAAAGAAAAGGGGGAGGGTGGCTAAATCCGGAGCAGAGGTGCTTCGCGTCGGCATGAACGTGATTTTATTATCGTGGGTCTTGTCTCTCCGCAGGCGACGACCCCGAGCCCGACCAAGGACGCGAGGACGCCGCCGGGAGGCCACCACGGCGGCGGCACGAGCCCCACCGGCATCCCCGGGCCGGGGGGCGCGACGCTGCCCGTGGCCCCGGCAGCCGCCGCCCCCGCCGAGCCCGCGCGCCTCTACACGGAGAGCGAGCGCTCGGCCGTGCAGCCGGCGCTGCAGTCCGCACCGCCCGTGTCCAAGGAGGAGCTCGACGCCAACGAGAAGAACGCCCGCCGACAGCAGCAGCTGCTCACGGAGCCGGGCCAGCTGGGACAGCTCACCTTCAAGCTGAGGTGGGTGCGATTCGTAGGAACACGACGTCACGCGACAGGTCGACGACTGGAATTTTCCCAAGGTACAGCTAGAGTACACCTGGAGTACACCCAGGAGTACATCCTGGAGTACACCCTGGAGTAAACATGAGGTTCAACCTCGAGTACACCCTGGAGTACACCTGGAATACGCCCGGAGTACTTTCAGCCCGGACCACAGCAGTCGTCGACCCCTCGCCGTCACGCGCTCCGCCCGCTCGGTCGTCAAGACTAGCTCCTGGGTGACACGCCCCGCCATATCGCGCGAGGTTCACGCCGCTGCCTCGCGTCACGGCCGCACACGTCACGGCCCGCGGGCCTTTGTCTCAGTCCGACACAATGCCGCCCGGGCCCCTTACGCTCTGCAAAGTTCCTCCACCCCCCGCTGCTGCCCCTCCCCCCTCTCGCCCACACCACCGCGGAGTTGCGAGCATAATTTCTCATCTTCTGATTTGCCCTCTGCCGCTTTCCACTCAGTGGCTGACGCCGTTGCGCTGGTGGAGGGGCCGGGGTCGGGAGGAAGGGAGGTGGACGAAAGATTTGGGAGGGCGAGGGGCGGTGGGGTTGCCTGCGGGAGTTGAGAGAGGCGCAGCCAATCAGAACGGCGACTTTTAAAAGCGCTGCCGGGTATCAACTTCTGATCAAGGACCACGCACGTCTCCACCCTCCTGCCGCCCACTCCCCCATCTCCTTTTGCTTCTCCAGCTCCTCTACTCCACCCCCTCCGCCCTCTTCCTCTTCTCCTACGCCTCCTCCGACCTTCAAGTCGCCCGATCTGGCGATAAATGGCCACACGCAGCCTGATCCGGTGCGGCAGTGACGTCTGGATCCCCCGCGCGCGCCCGAGGCCGAGGCCCTTTGAGTTGTGGTTGGTGTTTGTACTCCTGAGAGCCCCGGGCGTGACTGCCGCCAGGTTGGCCATCATCGATAGAGTGCAGCAGCGTGGTGCAGCGCCAGGGTCTGCGATACCATCTGAGCTGTGCCACTGCGCACCGCTGTCGAACAACTTGCCGTTGTTTATTTTTATTCCGTCAGTTTTACTGGCTACTTTATAGGGCCCGGCTTGGAATGAAACGACGACCACTCGACAATTTTTGCTTCGACTCGACTTCTTTATTTCGACGTTGCATCGACCTTCTTTTCTTGTTGGGGAGCCAAAACTCGAGCGCATGAGTTGTAACAGTAACTAGAATAGCTTGTTCATTTCTTTTCTTTCGTCTTGTTTTTCGAGTAAAATGGGGAAACAATATCAAGTGTATACTAGTGCATTGGCGCATAAAGCTGCTCGAGGAAGGGGAGTGGCGGTCCGCGGTAAATTATGCGATTATCGACGTCGTTTGTGCGCCGTCGCGTGAAGTGCAGCTTTATGAGAATCTTAAACGCAAAACCCTTTCCCCTTCCAGTTCCCCTCCTTCCCGTTGCCTCTCTGCGCAGCGCTTTTGCTTTCGCGCCTTACACTTTGCCTTTTCACACAGAAGGCCCGCCTACGCGCAGCTCCGTGGAATTAATTACGCAATTTAAAATGGTTCTAAAATCACGAGAATTAATTACGCAATTTAAAATGATTCTGAAATGGCGCGCGCGCGCGCGCGCTCCCGCCGCCGCCACCACTGCGCTTGCCCAGCTATAATTTTCTCGCGGGCAAACAGTCCCCCTCTCTCACCTAATGCCGAGCGCTCCTCTCGCCCAGGAGCGCGCTGCCTCGCCGCACCTCGCCGCGCCACGCCCAGCCACGCCCTCTCTCACGCCATATTTTCCGTGTGTGAGTGTGGCTGTGGGCCCCGCAGGGTGGACGCCGAGGGGCGAAGAGGGAAGGGGCAGGGGAAAGGGCAGAGGCAAAAAAAAGGAACATAGCTGCTTGCTGTTCCCAGTAATGGTGCCATTTATTCCGCCCGTTTTCCCGACCGAATGTATTTCCAAGATAGCATGTTGCGCTCTTCAACGCGCCGCCTCGGCGCTCTCCACTGTGGGGGAGCAGATGGCTGGAGAGATGGCGGGGGGCTTCTGGGAACGTCCGACAGGCGCTAAAAAAACACTCTCTTCTGCTGCAGGTACCGCCAGGACAAGAGCACGCTGGTGGTGACTGTCGTCAAGTGCAAGAACCTGCCGGCCAAGGACCCGGGGCTGGGCAGTTGCGACCCGTACGTCAAGCTGCAGCTGCTGCCTGACAAGCAGCACAAGGTCAAGACCCGAGTGCTGCGCAAGTCGCGTGACCCGCAGTACGACGAGGACTTCACCTTCTACGGCATAAACGCAAACCAGCTCCAGGTGCGCTCTCTCGCCCCTGCACAGTGCACTGCAAGTATTTCAACGGCGTTCATTTCATTTGCATATATATCTTTCTATATTTCCCCCGGCAGAGCATCACCCTGCACTTCGTCGTGCTGAGCTTCGACCGCTACTCCCGGGATGACATCATCGGCGAGGTGTTCTGCACGCTGAGCTCGGTGGACCTCAGCAACAAGGACAACCACCAGCAGATGCTGACGAAGAACATCCTGCCCCGAAGCCTCAAGGTGAGGTCTCCGACGCCCCGCGGGTGGCGCTCAAGGGCGCTCGGACCGGAGACGGAAAAAGCGGCCCACCCCGGGGGACCCGTGTCGCTTACAGACTTTGTTTCGTCCGCAGATCCGGTCGCAGGGCCGCGGGGAAATCCTGGTGTCGCTGTGCTGGCAGCCTGCGGCCAACAGGCTCACCGTCGTCATCCTCAAGGCCAGGAACCTGCCCAAGATGGACGTGACGGGCCTGGCTGGTAAGCGAGTGACACGGTGTGGTGTACTGTACAGTCCCGGCGCGCACGCGTGCGCAGTGTGGTGCCTATCCTGGGCCTGGCGGGCGCCTCGGTAGACAGTCCCGGCGCGCACGCGTGCGTCTTGTGTTGCCTATCCTGGACCTGGCGGGCGCCTCGGTAGACAGTCCCGGCGCGCACGCGTGCGTCTTGTGTTGCCTATCCTGGACCTGGCGGGCGCCTCGGTAGGCAGTCCCGGCGCGCACGCGTGCGTATCGTGTTGCCTATCCCGGACCCGGTAGGCGCTTCTCCCAGGGGTCGACGGCCCCCGCGCCCGGCGGCGGCTCCCCCGCCACGTCCGCCGCAGCTGCGCTAACTACGCGGCAGTTTGCAGACACCTCCTGCGGCTTGCCCCCGGGGGCGGGGCCCGGCCGGCACCGGGGGCCGTGCGGCCATATCGCCGGCGCTTCGATCGCGGAGGCAGGGCCGACCCCCAGGGGGCTCCGAGGCGGGGCGGGCAGGCTGGCGTGCTGGGTAGCTGCTTGCCTTGACAGCCCAAGGCTTAATTTCTCGCCTTAATCCCCCCGGCGTAAGGGCGTAACCCAGCCTTGTGGATATTGAAACCGCGCGTGGCCGCGCTGCGTCAGCGCCGCTCCCACACTCACTCACTGCGCAGCGCTCGCTCGAGGGGCGGGACCGCCTCCTAGAGCCCGGCCGTTAGTTAGTCTTTAGCTGACAAGTTTTCTCACGGCATCTCATCTTTTTCTTATTTTTTGCTTTTAGCTCAAGACCTAAGTACACTGCTGCGGGTAAAATACTTTAAAAATATGAAAAGCGAACTGAAAAAGCCCTATCCTCCACAAAGAAAGAAAACCGCGAGGACATAAGTTTCTTCTGTGTTGCTTTGTGGACTTTCTGGCCAGCCGCTTATGATGCTCACTTTCTGTTCTAGACCCCTACGTAAAGATGTACCTGCTTGTTGGCGGCCAGCGAGTGGCCAAGAAAAAGACCCATGTGAAGAAGCGCACTCTCAACCCCGTCTTCAACGAGTCGTTCGTGCTGGAGGTGCCTGCCGGTGCCGAGGGACTGGAGTCCGTATCCCTCGAGTTCCTGCTGCTGGACTGGGATCGTGTTACGAAGAACGAGGTGAGTATTTACAGATAGGCGTTGTGCTCGGTTGTGCATCACTTCACTTATCGACCGTAGGTCTCCAAAGACCTCTGGTATTCGCAAGACCGAAACCTCACTACTTGCGCGCCTCACGGCGTCAAGACCGGGCAGTCCCTCCTGCTCTGCCTTGCCGCACGCTAAACCGGGCTTGTCGTATATCACCGGCCCCTTTACCTTTTTTCTCTCCAGTGTCCCTTCTAGATTTGCCCTGGGGGTATTCCCTCTGGGTGTTTTCTCTGTGTGCTCCGAGGGTGTTCCCTCTGGGTGTTCCCTCTGGGTGTTCCCTCTGGGTGTTCCCTCTGGGTGTTCCCTCTGGGTGTTCCCTCTGGGTGTTTCCTCTGGGTGTTTCCTCTGGGTGTTCCCTCGGGGTGTTTCCTCTGGGTGTTCCCTCTGGGTGCTTCCTTTGGGTGTTCCCTTTGGGTGCTTCCTTTGGGTGTTCCCTTTGGGTGTTCCCTTTGAGTGTTCGAGCTATGTGTTCCGTTCCAGCTGGGTGGGTGTTCCCGATTGTCCCCCGGTTGGCCTCGCTGTACCTGGGTGTCCAGCCAGGGAGGGCACCTTGTCGTGCCGAACTCTGGGATCAGAATGGTCGGTAATGCAAAGACTGTTTGCAGGTCATTGGTCGCCTCGAGCTCGGCGGCTCACGCTGCACTGGGTCCGCTCTTCATCATTGGAACGAGGTGTGCAACTCACCGCGCCGGCAGATAGCAGAGTGGCACAAACTGCGAGAATAACACACGCGTGTGTAAGCTGCGTAATACCTAACCTACTTCCTCTCTCGAAATCGCCATCATGTAACAACTTAATTTTGCGTATCATGACCCTAATAGCGCTCTGTCAGCCGACTCAAGTAGGATACTGATAGAGTCGGCGGTTTCCAATGACTGTCTTGCAAATATTAATATTATATACATTTATATTATGTTGTATCATATGCTGTCGATCTCAGAATCACATTCATAACATTTGAGAATTGAATTAGTAAGTGTATCAGATCAGACCGGAAGTATTAATTATTTCTCTCGAAGATGGTAGTCGAAGGCATGTTTAAACAAGCCACCACTATGGGATAAAAATACACGAAATTCTTACAGAAAACTGTTGGCAACAAATGCCAAAACATTTCAAGGTTTACAATTTAATTGACATTCCAAACAGTAAGTTTAGATGTAGTAATATGTAACTAGATTCTATTTGCTCTAGCAAACCTAACTCTTTTTCCTTTGAACTGACATGTGAATAATATGCAGATGAGGCATTGAAGACGTTTTGTACGTATTGTGGTTGTGACCGCTATTTGCATTTTACATCATTAGCTACATCTGTAGTTTGTTTGTACGTATTCAGAATTTAGAGAGTATGTCCATAAGAGACTCAATCACATTTGTAAACGAAAACGGCTGGATAGTATCCACAGAAACATATGAGCCGATTCTATTTGATTTGACAAATATAAATGAAGTTCGGATGTATTTGCTTTTGTATTATGTTCGATTTTGTTGCATAGAACTAAATGCTATATTTCAGTGGCATTATGAAGAGTTATTCTTAGGCTTTTACTTCAAGCAGACCAATTTAATAGAAATTGCTTGCGCTTGGTGACGAGAATATCAACCAAGGACTAGTGTGTACAGGGCAGGGTAAAGCTGAGTTCAGTGGGAGCCAGTCTTAATGTCTATATAGGGCTGCCTAACCAGTCCTAAAGAGCAGTTTTGTCTTCCTTTATTAGCGCACTTCACATGTATGGAACTCTATAAATATGTAATTGTGTTATACAAAAATAATGAGCCAGGAATTTTAAGACAATGCTGCATATCATGTACTTTATGGGTGGGGTTTGAAAAATATTCTATGACTTTAACTATTCAATCACTGTTTAACACGATTTGTGGAAAAAATTGGATTTATTAAAAAAAAAAGCATTCCTTATATTTTTATCTGTACTGGCTAGTAGACTGCGCATCTATGATATCAGCATTGACTATTTGATGTGGAATAGACATACGGGAGACTGAGTTATGACTCTCATATTGTTAGATGAGAGCAGATTACTGGTGAGAATGTCTATAAAAATACAATCAAGAATTTAGAATTAAAATGTACATACTTACTTTTCCTACTACTTTTGCTTAGTTAAATTGAAAAGAAATTGTGTACGAAGAGAAAAAGTTGATCTATTTATTGGGAAAGAAGGGGAAAATAATTCACCTAAGGTTTCCTAGAGTTGAGTGAGTCGTCCATTAAACATTAATTTCGTGTAGATTTTCTCTCCAGAAGTAATGTCACACTTCATTTCAAAATTATTGGCTCACTTAGATGTAACCTAATATTGTTTTCTTGGAAAGGGGCTGGCTCCCCTTATGTTAAAGTTTAGTGAACTGGAACATGCAACTTTTCTTTTAATTGACGTTTTCTGGTGTATTTGATGCACATTGCTGCACATTTGGTGTTTCATTACATTTACAGAGTTAAAATTCATGTATTAGTCTACCAGCATATGAATGAAGGTGAAATAATCTATACTCTCACGCAGGTTTCGCCAAACCGGATGTTTGCGTTTTCCTGTTTCCTGTCGAGGCAAATATATAGTACCAACTAGTTTCATAGGATACGGCTACGGTCTCAGCAACATACGAGCCAAGTCCCAAAGGTCATTACTGTTCAGTGGTGTTAGTCCTATATCACTCTTCTAAACCTTTGGAGAGCCTCAGTGGACGTGGAAAATAAAAGAATGGCATTTATGTTAAAAATGAAACACATCCATATTCTATCTATTTGAGTGTATAGTGTAGTCAAGAGAGATGCTTCCTGCGTATTGTATCTGTTATACCTCTAAATATTGGTTTGAACTTCTTGTGTTGTCTTAAAAGAACACTAGACATATTTTCTGACCACAATTATCTGCATTTGGTTTTGTGGAAACTTATATCAGTAAAAGTAGGTGTAATGGCTTAGTATGCTGGTGTAGTGATACACATAATATTCTGTCTCAAATTTTCTACGCAAATTTGTCACCTATTGTTGCCTACAGATTTTTTATTTAAGAGCAAAATGTGTCTGAGCTCTTGGTTGCATGAGTTAACTTTAATCAGGTACTCGTGAAAAAACAAACAAAAACAGCAGCATGTTATATTTTCTCATTCTCAGTTTGATCAGCACAAATAAAGTGTGAAGACATACAAACTACATCGATATTTTTAATCACCTGCTAAAACCGAACACGTCGTACCACTACGCACAAATTTTCAGAATATTGACTCTTCGCACGTGCCTTGAACAAAAGACGCTACACGGAAGCACCAAAGTCTTCATGGCCAAGTGGGCCACTTCCTAAAATCGCGTGCAGGGTGGCCACGCAACCTGGAAGTCAGGGAAAAGTCAGGGAAAAAAGTATTGGTCAGGGAAATTGAACGGTGGTCAGGGAAAATTACCGAATCTTGCTCGAAATTGTTATTTTCAAACTTTCGGTGGCATTTTCAATTTTTGGGGAGGCAAAAAGTTCCACTTAAAATACCTCTAAAAGTCAGGGAATTTGCGTAAAAAGTCAGGGAAAGGTCAGGGAAAAGTCAGGGAATTTGATAGCTCCGATTGCGTGGCCACCCTGGCGTGTCCGCTGTCTCTGAAACCCTCCCAAAATCATCTGAGATCATCCTGCAATTATAAAATCTTGCGTAGTCTGCCGGTTAATTTCAGTCTGAAATCCACTGAACTGTCAATTGAAATCCTCTGGAATCTGGTCAAATCCACTGAAATCCTGTGAAATCCATCGAAATCTTACAAAACCGGCTGAAATCGTGAGTTATCCTGAAAATCAGACGAAATAAAATATTCAGAAATACTATCCGAAATCCCTGAAATCATGTGAAATCTCGCATTCCATTCAAAAAAGGAGGGTGTGGCCCCCTCGTTTATGGTCTAGCATTCTACACTGCATCAGATCAGCATAGTATATACAGATATATAGCACGGCCAGCGTCCGCGGTGTAGCGCTAAGGCATCTGGTGATACTCCGTGCCCTTCACCGACTACCCCATGCTCACCACGCCCGAGCATGGAGTAGCGCTCCGCACCCTCTGCCACAACCCTGCTCCTCGCTCCCTGCGTCAGTACCCCGTGTGCACAGCATGGGGTCCATAAAGTGTCACTCACCCCCCATGTTTCGAAAGGTACGGAAAAATGTCGAGGTATCTACTCCTCGTGTGAACCAGTATGAAAAATTTTTGTCAGCATTTTAAATTGGTTTTATGCATTTTCTGATTTGAACGTAAGTTCATCATTGTGCCCGAACACTTTCTCGTAATTATTGCAGTGCATAGCACCAGCACAGTGAACCCGTTCCTGGGTCTAGACAGACAACTTCTTAGCAGTCGATCCATTCAATCTCTAAACGTGCGCCGCAACCTAGCCTTTGATGATGTTGAAAGCGCCGGCGCCGGAGAGCATAGCGAGTAGAAAGGCGGGGCTGCGCGCGCGGAGCGGCCGCGCTTGCTCCGGCATGCAGCCCATCAAGTCGGCGCCCTGAGACCACCGCCGCGCCGCCGCCCCCGCGGCCGCCCCCGCGGCCGCCCCCGCCGTGCCCCTTCATTCCTCGCCTCATCTAACGTCTCGACGATGTCAGCCAGAGATTAAATTAAGTCTTTCGCGCCCGCTCGCACCCCTCCTCCCAGCAGCAGCGCTCTGCGTCGCCTCTCCTCGACATTTTTTTCCCTTGATTGAGCCCCACCACACGCCCCCTCCTGGCGCCAGGCCGGTCGGCGCCTCTCGCCCCATCTCTCTCTCTCTCTCTCTCTCTCTCTCTCTCTCTCTCTCTCTCCACACACACACACACACACACACACACTCATCTTGCAGCACCACCCCTCACAACGCCACGCACCCCCTCCGCCGCGCCGTACCGTGAGCAACAGGAGGCTAGACTTCCAAGCGATTTTGAAAGGGCGCGCGCGGCGCGGGTGGGACGGGGGAGCGCGTTTAGGAAACCGTATTCTCTCATCTCTGTCGGTTGATTTGCGATCGACACGGGAAGGAGAGAGAGAAAGAAAGGGGAAGACCCGACCGGGCGGCCTCTTTCGCGCCGCTGCCGAGAATGGTCGGACGCCCCGCCATGGGGAGCAGCGGGGG